GTGGTTGATTCTTAGAATCCTTCAGAGCGTTTCACTTCAGAGAATCTACATTGAGGTCAGACATTATTTTAACATCAATAAAACAAATGAATCAATATTACGTCAACAATACACAGGTGAAACTCATATTCACATATCACGATCATGACAAAAATAAGAAATTACATTTTGAATAAAGATATTTAAAAACCATTAAGGTTGTTATTTATGGTTACAGAACTGGTGCAGGATAACTGTCAGAAAAATATGAAAAAAAACCCCTGTCTTTTTTGTCTCTTTTTCTTGACAATTTTCAGATCAAGGTAAACCCTAATAAGGCTGCTATGCAGTTCCTATTGTTTTTTGGGTGGTTGCTAAGGTTTTCTGATGACTTGAAACATGTTGCTATGCAGTTTAGCTGCTAGGGTGCTTTAAATGGTTGCTAGGTGGTTGCTAAGGTATTATGAGCAATTTAAGAATGTTGCTGTGCAGTTGCTATGATGATTTGAGTGGTTGCTAGGTGGTTGCTAAGGTGTTATGTGTGATTTTAAGCATGTTTCTGTGCCACAAATGAATTTGTCAACAATACATAGGTGAAACTCACATTAACATCAAGAAATTATAGATAGAAATTACATAAAGATAAGAAATTATATTTTGCATAAATAAAGAAAATTTAAAGACCATTAATATTATAAGAATGACAGTTAAGCACATTTTCACCCAAATTCTCTTTATTTATTTATTATTATTTTTTTGTATTACTGGAACTGAAGCCATTATTTATTTATTATTATTTTATTGTTTTATTGGAACTGAAGCGATTATTTATTTATTATTATTTTATTGTTTTATTGGAACTGAAGCGATTATTTATTTATTATTATTTTATTGTTTTATTGGAACTGAAGCGATTATTTATTTATTATTATTTTATTGTTTTATTGGAACTGAAGCGATTATTTATTTATTATTATTTTATTGTTTTATTGGAACTGAAGCGATTATTTATTTATTATTATTTTATTGTTTTATTGGAACTGAAGCGATTATTTATTTATTATTATTTTATTGTTTTATTGGAACTGAAGCGATTATTTATTTATTATTATTTTATTGTTTTATTGGAACTGAAGCGATTATTTATTTATTATTATTTTATTGTTTTATTGGAACTGAAGCGATTATTTATTTATTATTATTTTATTGTTTTATTGGAACTGAAGCGATTATTTATTTATTATTATTTTATTGTTTTATTGGAACTGAAGCGATTATTTATTTATTATTATTTTATTGTTTTATTGGAACTGAAGCGATTATTTATTTATTATTATTTTATTGTTTTATTGGAACTGAAGCGATTATTTATTTATTATTATTTTATTGTTTTATTGGAACTGAAGCGATTATTTATTTATTATTATTTTATTGTTTTATTGGAACTGAAGCGATTATTTATTTATTATTATTTTATTGTTTTATTGGAACTGAAGCGATTATTTATTTATTATTATTTTATTGTTTTATTGGAACTGAAGCGATTATTTATTTATTATTATTTTATTGTTTTATTGGAACTGAAGCGATTATTTATTTATTATTATTTTATTGTTTTATTGGAACTGAAGCGATTATTTATTTATTATTATTTTATTGTTTTATTGGAACTGAAGCGATTATTTATTTATTATTATTTTATTGTTTTATTGGAACTGAAGCGATTATTTATTTATTATTATTTTATTGTTTTAGGTGCCGGGTTTCCATCCAAAGTTGCGAATTTTACTTATGCACAAAACTGGAATATCGCATAAAACGTGTGTGTGTGTATATATATATATATATATATATGAAGAGTTCAGATGCAAAAGCCACTAAGTGCTGTCTGTATATATACATATTTTTCACAGGCTCCTATGTTTATGTTGTTTTTTTTTTCACATTAATGGCAATTAAAAAAAACCTATTCATTGCCATTAAAGTGAAATTACTGAACCTACACATAGGAGCCTGATAAAAATGCTAATTTTAGAAACAGATGTTCGTATTAATAACTACATATGAAGAGTTCATTTGCAAAAACAGATAACTCAGTTTTTAAAAATGTTCAAAAATCTTGTTTTTCATTGTGAATTCCAATTAATCTCAATCAAACTGCAGTTGGGTTATTTTGATTAGGTTAAAAATAAATAAAAAATACAGATAACTAACACAATAAAACACAGTAAAATCATGATAACATAATAAAAAACAGGATTTTTGAAAATGAAAAACAGTTATTTGCTTTTGCAAATAAACTCTTCATATATAAACAAAAACTACTAAAAATGAAAAAAATGCAACAAAATTATAAAAATTCTTAAAAAGGGAAAATGTAAAAAAAAAAAATGATTCAAAATATTAATAAAACTATTATAGTATCAGTGATACTAAAATTATGCTAGTCAGTTATTCTTAACATTTTGAATTATAAATTGTATTTGAACAACAAATTAATTTGTGATTATTTTCAAAAAGCACTTGTAAGTACTTATAATAACTATATATGTAATTTAATAAAAATGCACAACTATACAGCAATGTTGAATTTCAGCCCAGTCATTGTTAATGCACTGCATTATTGTTTTTTCAATTAGTTTAATTCAACATGCTTTTTGTTTCAGAAAGATTTCTTATTATTTTACTTCGTGCTGTGGATAACAGACCACCATCTGAGAAGGTCTTATTAATTAATTAATTAATAGACAAACAAATAAAATACAATAAAAATTATAATAAATATGTATGAAAAATGTATAAAATAATATTATTTAAAGTAATATTTATTCAGTAGTGGAAAGTAGCAATTGAAAATAGTTTTATGTAAATAATAAATTAATTAATAAAGAACAAAAAAGGAGGAAATGAGCAGTTGGTCCCTTTGAGGATTTATTTCAACCTGATATGACCAATATTAAACACTTTTGTTGACATAACCCAATTTAGTCACATTGATTTAAACATATTAAATTATATATTAGACTTTAATTAAAACTCATTTTCAAGTTACCTGATTAAACATTTTCACAGCATATCAGAGTAATGCTAAAATTACCAAAACCACTAGGTAACCAATGACTCTCACTACCATTACTAAATTTAAATATGAACCAGAGCAATCAGTTCATCTCTTTCCACTGACGGTAAATTAATAAAAAAAATCCCCATCTGTACACAGCAGTGCATTTGCCACTTTCTAAGTTTTGACCTCCCCCTGTTGGAGAAGTGTATACTGGAGCACGTCTCTCAGGACTGGGGTCAGGAGGTGAGGAACTCCTTAAAGAACCAACCAAAGAGCAAAGACAAGGAGACTCCTCCTTTAAAAGACCAAAGGAAAGGTGACGAGAGCCAGACAGATGCCCTATCTGAGTTCACCTTGATGAAGTACCCAGATCGCATGAATCAAAAGCCTTGAAGCTGGTGGCATCTTTTCTTATCTTTTAAACCCCCTGAATTGGGTTTTTAATGATATCTAAAGGCAAATGTTGTTGTTGCCCAATGTTTTCCTCTCTGTTTAAATGAGCATGAATGTGGTTTTGCTTGAGCACATATCAATTCTAAACACAACTGAGGTAGGCTGTCAAACATTGTTTGAGTGTTTAAAAGCATATGCATGTACAGTACTAAAATATCAGGTGAATTTGGTTAGAGCTGCAGTCTAGTTATCAACATCAACTCAAGGTTGGGTGGATGAATCATCAGAACCACAAAGACAGTTCTCCACGTGGTTGATTCTTAGAATCCTTCAGAGCGTTTCACTTCAGAGAATCTACATTGAGGTCAGACATTATTTTAACATCAATAAAACAAATGAATCAATATTACGTCAACAATACACAGGTGAAACTCATATTCACATATCACGATCATGACAAAAATAAGAAATTACATTTTGAATAAAGATATTTAAAAACCATTAAGGTTGTTATTTATGGTTACAGAACTGGTGCAGGATAACTGTCAGAAAAATATGAAAAAAAACCCCTGTCTTTTTTGTCTCTTTTTCTTGACAATTTTCAGATCAAGGTAAACCCTAATAAGGCTGCTATGCAGTTCCTATTGTTTTTTGGGTGGTTGCTAAGGTTTTCTGATGACTTGAAACATGTTGCTATGCAGTTTAGCTGCTAGGGTGCTTTAAATGGTTGCTAGGTGGTTGCTAAGGTATTATGAGCAATTTAAGAATGTTGCTGTGCAGTTGCTATGATGATTTGAGTGGTTGCTAGGTGGTTGCTAAGGTGTTATGTGTGATTTTAAGCATGTTTCTGTGCCACAAATGAATTTGTCAACAATACATAGGTGAAACTCACATTAACATCAAGAAATTATAGATAGAAATTACATAAAGATAAGAAATTATATTTTGCATAAATAAAGAAAATTTAAAGACCATTAATATTATAAGAATGACAGTTAAGCACATTTTCACCCAAATTCTCTTTATTTATTTATTATTATTTTTTTGTACTTTATATATA